GTTGGCACCACTAGTGACACTCAGGCACTGTTTCTTCCACAGGTGGTTCAGCAACAAAGCTAGGCGCTGCACTTCTTCGTGCACATTCGCATCATCGGGAAACACCAAGGCAGGCACGCAGTAGCAGCAGTAGGTGCCGGGGAACAACAGGACCCCAGGTTCCTGTGTGCACAGAGGATGTGCCTAAAACCCCAGTGATCACTCCTTTCGGGCTTTTCGAGTTTTTGCGCATGCCTTTCATCCTTAAAGGCACGGTGCAGACATTTCCCAGGCTGATGGACTCGATGTTGCGAGATCTTCGTGTTCGTTTATGTCGACGACATTCTGGTTGCCAGCCCGTCGACCGATGTGCACCAGTCACATCTGAAATCGTTTTTTCAGCGCCTAGACGAGCACGGCCTGATCATCAACCTCGAGAAATGCCAGTTTGGTTTGCCGGTCATCGACTTTCTGAGAGAGTGCTGCCCCAGGCTTGTTTCCTGCGGCGCAGGAATTTCTATCCTGAGTCGGGTTTTACGCCGTTGCCTGTGCACCACTGTTTTCCCCGTTCATTTGTGCCGGTGTACCTCGCTGGCGCTCGTTTTGTTTTTATGCGTCACAACGCTCACCCATCGCCCCTTAAGCCCCCATACGATGGCCTGTTTAGGGGGCTGGAGGTTCACATGGTGGCTGACGAGGCGGTGTTTCTAGCCCAGGTTTCCCGTCGGGGTCGTCCCCTTTCCAGGTTTCGACCTGTGCCCTCACAGGCCAGGAATTCTTTTACAGGTCCGGCCACGGATGTGGTTCTACAGCTGGCTGTTAGCAACGAAGTTTGACGCAGCCTTTATGGGAGGATACTTAGGCCTCCTGCGTGGGTTTGACCCATGACCTGAGGTTCCCTTCTGGGTGTTCGGGGGCCACGCCGCACGCAGGGACGTGTTAAGTGCCTATAGAATATGGCGCTCAGCGCCATGTTCTCTCTCTGTTTCTGTTTTCACAATATGTACTATGTATTTGTTATAGAGGGACAATGTATTTAATGAACATTTAAAAATAAAATGTAAGTGCACCCAGTTGTAGCTAAAATTTCTATTTTCAGTCCCCTGCCTTTAATCATAATAAATATGATATAATCCTGAATAATCCACAGTCTTTTATAACAAAACATGTCACAGTGTTTGGGTTATTTATCAAGAAAACGTCTTTATTTCTCACTGGAAAACACAAACATCGTGATCGGGTTTGAAAAGCAATAAGTGTTCCAAAAACGGAGTGGCCCCTTTAACATTGTACATGCAGTCCATTGAATAATTCATCAGCCTGTATGACTTGTTCTCCAGCAGTTGTTTACTGTCTGAAGCCTGGGTGTCAAAGAACATCACGTCCAGTCCAATCACGTCAGCAACGTTGAAAGTGACACAAAATGGTGAAAAACGTTAAAACATGCTCACTCCTGAGATGGCGGTGTCATGCAGACAGGAGGCCAAAAACAGACCTTCCACCTCAGCAAGACCTCCGATACGGTTTGCAAAGGCTGGAGAAAACGCCAACCTTCCTCGCCAGAGAGTAATACCAACGGTACTCTCACCAGGCAGCGAGTGGTCGATGAGGGTCGACCTGGGGAGGCAGCTTCAATTCCCCAGGGAGATCACAGAAACTTCGCTCCAGCCAGATCTGATCTCATGTGGTCAGAACCACACAGGACCATTCTGATGGTGGAACTTACCGTCCCATGGGAGGAAGGCCCCGTTGAAGTAGGATGCAGGGGCTTCGTCGTGTCCTCAACTGTACGCCTGCTGCGCGACATGGGATGCACAGGAGCAGGGCGCAGGAAAGCCATGAGGGAACTGGCAGAAGAGGCAGAGAAGGGCAGCTTTTGGCTGTGGCTCAGGAGGAAAGAGGTGAGTTGGGGGCCAAACAAAGCGTGACCCATTCACTTCAACATAAATTTACCCACAATAGTCAACCTTAAACACAATAGGCATAATTAAATAATAAACTGTAACTCTAGCTCAAAAAAAAGGCCAACAGATTAAGTTAGGAAGCAATATTGACAAATCTAATAGTAATTAATTAACTAGACACACCCTGGGGCATGATCAACCCCAGTGGGACCTTCCTAGGGGGAGAGTGTCTAGTGATAATTGTCCCCAAGGTCCACTACTGAACATGTGTCTTACAGTAAGATAGTCAATTTATAAGAAACAACCAGCTAATCAGAAAAAGCCACAATCCAGTAATACAGCCCACTCCACCCCATCCCTTACCTCAGCCCCTTCCCTTACCCTGAAGGTAAGTATAAGGATGACCCCAATAATTCTCCAGCCACAGTCCTAATCCCCACCCCTTGATCATACCAAGGAAATCACCCTTGAGGTAAGTTGGCACCACTAGTGACACAGTGAGGTGTTCAGATGAGTACGCCAGCACAAAGGCTCTGGTGGAGGTGCGTCAGCCTGCAACGCCCAGCAGGCAGACCACCAGCCTGAGGTGCACATGGTGGCTGGCGAGGCGGCATTTCTGGCCAAGGTTCCCTGTCGGTGTTGTCCTCCTTCCAGGTTTCAACCTGTGCCCTCACAGGCCAGGAGTTATTTTACAGGTCCGGTTGCGGAGGTGGTTCTACAGCTGGCTGTTGTCGACAAAGTTTGGCACAGCCTTTATGGGAGGTTACTTAGGCCTCCAGCGTGGGGTTTGATCAATGACCTAAGGTTCCCCTCTGGGTGTTCGGGGGCCACGCCGCACGCAGGGACGTGTTAAGTGCCTATAGAAGTTGGCACTAAGCGCTATGTTCTCTCTCTGTTTCTGTTGTCAGGGACGAATAAAGAAGTGTAGACCACCTGCATCTCAGAGTCATCCTTTAACTGCCACAATATGTACTATGTATTTGTTATAGAGGGACGATGTAATTAATGAACATTTAAAGATAAAATGTAAGTGCACCCAGTTGTAGCTAAAATTTCTATTTTCAGTCCCCTGCCTTTAATCATAATAAATATGATATAATCCTGAATAATCCACAGTCTTTTATAACAAAACATGTCACAGTGTTTGGGTTATTTATCAAGAAAACGTCTTTATTTCTCACTGGAAAACACAAACATCGTGATCGGGTTTGAAAAGCAATAAGTGTTAAAGTTCCAAAAATGGAGTGGCCCCTTTAACATTGTACATGCAGTCTATTGAATAATTCATCAGCCTGTATGACTTGTTCTCCAGCAGTTGTTTCAATCCAGTCTATAGCCTGGGTGTCAAAGAACATCACGTCCAGTCCAACGACTCAATCACGTCAGCAACGTTCAAAGTGACACAAAAGTGAGACCCACACGTACATGAAGATTCCGGTTAAAGAGTGAAAATACCAAACACAGAGCAGAAGCACGGAACACAATTCTCAGTGTGATTGAGCCAAATACCAAATATAGAACATGCTGAGCATGAACACTGTCTCACTGTCTGACACTCTGAGAACTCAGTCCTTACACATAAACTATATATACACTGAATATATATATATGTATACATATATATAAAGATATATATGTACATATATATTCACATATATATGTACCTATATGTACATATATAGATGTGTATATATATTCACATATATGTACATATATGTATATATATTTTTTCACATATATACATATATAAAGGTATATAAGTACATATATATTTTCACATATATGTACATATATACATGGATATATATATATAAATATATAAACAGGATTGTGCAATCTTGTAATTCACACAACAATCACACACTGGAAAGTTTGTGCTGTGGCAGGAATTGAGGATGTGGGGTGAGTGCCTCAGCAGCAGAAGCAGCAGCAGCAGCAGCAGGAGCCTCATTTATAACAGAGTGGGATCAATACTAAGTGGTAAATGGTCTGTGTTTATTGCATTTTTCCAGCCTTGATTGCCTTTCAAACTGCCCTGCTGCACCATTTTTACCATCTATCCGCTCACACACACATTCGTTCGGTCCATCAATTGGCCGTGGTTTTCCTGTCGTTCACCATTCATCAGTGTGATTGTCCAGGAAACCTGAACTGGGGGAGTTTATTATTTTATTTTTTCCAGCGTTGGAGTTCATTCATCACTGATCCCGACATCAGGCAGTGCACAGCACAGATAAATAAATAAATAAATACATACATACATACATGTAATTAATTAAATAAAGGTTTTTAAAACATAAATATTCAAATAACAAATCTACTTAAACACCAATTAATTAGTTTACTCTTTCATGGACGGACTAATAGTAGAATAATAATTTGAAGTATTATTGAATTTATTTTTTATAATTTTTAGTTTTGGGGATTAATGGCTGTATAATGTTTTTATAATTTTATTCACGTCAACTGTTAGCAAAAACTTCAAGTGGAATCAGTACCAGATTCTGGCTTTCTGGATCCAGTTTAAACTGGTTAGAAATGTGGTGTTCAATACACTTGATTATACATTATATATACAATTCTACTTTTTAACAAACTTGTGCTTTTAATTCTTACTCATAAACACGTTACTATTAGAAATTGAGTTTCGTAAATATTATTTAAATCTGTCGTTCGCAAACTTTTTCTGCATCGCCACCCTCATATGTGTGTTAAATACAGTTAGAGTCTTATTGGTTTGGTATTTTGGGGCAGAATCAGCTCTTGACATCTTTAGCCACGTAAGCAGACACAATTACAACGGAAAAGAACACAAACACATGACAGACTGGCTGCTGCTCTGGTGGAGAGAGTGAGCAAAAATACTTTTCTGGTTAGAAACTGTTTCACTCAACGATTGCATTTACGTCACAGCAGATGGGATTTTTCAGTCAGATCAGATGAAGTGATTATTGGTCAGAGACCGTGGTAAAGTTGTTGTATTGCTGTAAAATACACAACAGTAAAAAAGTTCATTATTACTTCTGAATTAGTGTGGCTTTAATTTCATCAAGTGAGAAAACGTCTCACACGGACATGAAAAGAGAATTATAAAAAATCAGTAGCACTCGACGTCTCGTGTACTAACGCATCGCTGATGTGTTTCAAGTGCCTTGGTGTCAAAAACTGCAGTTTTAATGCTCAAAATACCAGGTGAATTACTACTCTGCTATGTTTATATGTTTTTTTTATTAAATTATTTTATAGTGCTTAAAAAAGACATCAATGATCTAAGTTAACAGTCTCCAGCACGTGTTACTGTTTATCATTACGTCATTATGACAGTAGAGGCCACTGTTTCCTGTTCCTCAGTCCTTACTGTTTTTACATCTTTCTAGAATCAATTTCTAATTGTTTAATTGTTTGTTTAATTAATAGAAATACGTTTGTCGAAAAGTGGAACTAATTTGCTTTTTTTTTCTTTTAAATAATTAAACAGATTTTTATTATTAATCATTTTCTTAGAATCAACTTTTCCAACTAGAACTAAAAAATCTGTTTATTTGTCTCCAAATCAGATAAGGCGTGAACAATTCACTTATTTTATACGCGGCTAATTGTGAATTGTTGTGAATTTTCATAATCACTGTATGATGTGATAGAGTGTGACGTTATAAAGGACCTGGTGGCCGTTGTTCCAGGCGTACAGCGCCCTGTCACGGGGGTTGTAGTCGAGCATCGATAAATGGCTGTATTTATTAGTCAGAGGGATGTCGATGTACTCATACGTGGAGGAGTTGGTCGAGTACGCGTAGTACACTTTGGTTCCGCCCGAGTAACCGTTAGTAACATACAGGGTTCCACAAATCATGAACGCCTCACCTGCGCTGCGTTTCGGGTGATTGGTGGACCAGCTGCGGACAATCTGCAGAGTATTTGGGTTTAACTGACTCAGCACAATATTTCCAGCGTTCTGATTGGTCGCGTACACGGCCCAGAGGCCATCCTCATCTACCATGAGGTCGATATCTGAGTGGCCGCCCCAGGAGTAGTGGTACATGTTGTTATAACCGGCGAAGTCCAGCTGTTTGGAGCGGCTGATAAGCGACGTTCTCAGGTCGAACTTGATGATGGTGTGACTCTGGAACTTGTTGTAGTAAACTGAGCCATTGTAAACCACCTGACCGGTGCCTGACCATGGGTGGGGCAGGCGGTGAGAGGTGAAGTTCTCCGTGTTCATAAAGTCGTACATGGACTCATACTCCCGAACAAAGCGGTTGTTGTGGTAGCCGTCCATGTACCAAACCTGTGAAGGCACAGACTGCTGAGAAACGGTGGAACTGATCTAACTAAAAAATCGGGACCTTTTACAATGTTAGAACAGGCATGGGCAAACTAAGGCCCGGGGACCAGATGTGGCCCAATAAGCTTTGTAATTCGGCCCACCAAACTTGTCCAAATTATATAATTGGTTTGTATTGTGATTATACTTCTGTCTTTTCCCTGCAATGCCCACATTTGCCCTGTAGATGGCGTAGAGAAGGCTTAAAGCATTTTAGCATTTTACATGTCATTTATCTTAGTTCACACAAACGCTCCATCTATCTGCTCCTGACCCAGTTACCCTGTCAAATTTTAGAACATATTTTGGCCCACTAGTCAAAACCTGTGTGGTTCGGTAGTCATCGACATATACAGACACAATACAATTTATCCTCTGCATTTAAGGAGTGGGTGCAATCAGACGTGCTAGGGCAGTATGGATATTGTTCATGCTTGCTTATCACAAAAGAGCTTGGATGGGACTCGAACCTGCACCCCTAAGACATGTTTTTCTTATCAATCATAAAAGCAGCCTGTGGCCTCACAGTTAGTGGATCGGGATTGTTGTGGGAGCATCGTAGGTTCCAATCCCACCCTGGTTGTGGTTCGTTAAGCAAGGACTAATTTTGGCGAAATATTTTTACTGGGAAAAATCAGGAATACCGATGAAGTAACTGATTTCTTTAAAGAGTTTGTAAACTATATGTTATTGCACTTCTTTTATAAATATAACAGTACTCAAAATGCTTGCTGGAGAGCGTTAGGCCCAACTAGAACTAACGTTGTTTTCCATGTTGTGTTTCGTTTTTTGCCACTCACTCTGTTGTCTCCGGTCGGGGCCAGTGGGTCAGTCATCCACGATCCAAACCTGGATCCTGAGGTCTTGATGGTGACTGGTTCAGAGATCCCTGTCAATTTCCCACAGGCTGACACACACACACACGGTTTATTAGATTCAATCCGTTCGTTAACAGACTAATGACGTTTTTCACCCGGTGACCTACCCAGTCTCTGCATGCAGGCTTTCAGTCTGTCCTCCAGATTGGACACCCGACTGTGGAGTTCCTGGTAGTCCATTCCTCCCATTTGTTCCTGCAGCGATCCCAACAGTTCTGTCACATTTGCCGCCTCCTCTTTGAACTGCCGCACCAGCAGCGCGTCAGCCTTGTACGCCTCCAGGATGGGGATGAGAGGACGTAGCTCCTCCATCTTGGCCTTGATGAACTGAGAGACAGAAAGTCGTGAACCAGTTGTCAAACAGAAAAACTGGGATGGAGTCACTCATTGTCCTGGCGGTTTAACTTCATTAGTACCTTATACTGTCGGGCGATATTGGTCTCATGTCCGTCCTCTACCAGTTTGAATCTGTTCTCCAAATCCTTCAGCTGAAATTCCATTCCCTCCACAAACTGCAGATCTCTCTGAGTTCGCTGGTCCAGTACCTCAATAGACTGGCTCATGTTGTGGACCTGGAGAGGAAATGGTTAAACCAGAACTGTTACATGGCCATGAGTTCTAACAAGCCCTACCAGTTAAGTCATGACCTCTGGTTCTGGTTCCTGTCCTGCTCGTGTCACCCCTCTAACGGGGTTGTACCTGGTTTTCTACCAAGTACATGGTTCATAGCTTCCATATCCAACCATTCCTGTTTCTGGTCCTTCCCCCACACCTGGACTGGTTTCCTGTTCCCTGATTCTCCCTGTTGTTGACTCTTTGTTATGGTTCTGTTAAACCGTGTCCTGCTGCAGGTGCAGTTTTCAGGATTATCCAGTAGGGCGTCCTACCTTTTCCAGCAGGTATTTGAGCTGTTTGGTTCGAGCGTCTCTGGAACAGGTCGTTGCCTGGGGAGCAACCACGGTACAGACGCAGCGCCCCACGGTGTCGTGAGCTGAGCTGTACACCTGCCAGCTCTCCTCAGGGGCGGCAGGACCCACCTGAGAGACAAGAGTCCCGATCATAACAACAACAAAGGATGGTCACGTCCGTACTTCAAAGTCCTCATCCGTAATATCCAGTCATTATGGACAACATTGTTACTGTTAGGTTTGTCAGGCAGAAATGAAAATCAATCACTAAACAATATTTTTCTTGCTGCGACCCCCGACAATAGCTTCCTGCCCCTTGAGAGGGTACGCCCCATATATTTGATAACCATTGTCCTACTCCGAAACAGTAACAGGTTCTTATGTTCTCGCTGGTTTCTCTTCCTCACTTTTACAGTGGGAACACAGGCAGATTAATCTGAGGCCGTGATTTATTCATGGCTTTAAATGTGAAAATAAATCGTTGCTTAAACGACATGCGTCTCGGGACATTTATATCAGATCTGCCCTCTGTTGAAGACCTCGGGTTTACTGCGTGTAAATTATCTCTGTCTGTAAATCTTAAACAACTGCAGTTGTTAATATTTAAATGAAAGTGGCGTTGTTTTTGTTTGTTTTTGTTTTTTCAGCCATTGTCGCTGACCAATCAGAGGCTTGTTATTCAAATCCATCAGTAACATGTTAAAAAAAATTATACACATGAAGAGTGTGAGAGTCAAGCTGAAATATCTAACAGAAAGTCATTTGTCTCACAGGGTTTGTGTTGCTGCCCCCTACATTCAAAGAGGGGTATAACACACTGCCTTATGTTATATATTAAATTAAGATAATCCCAGAACAGCCTTTAATATAAACTATGTATGTTCTAAATTTTTTTTTCCTGCGTGTGTGTGTATGTGTGTATGTGTGTGTGTGTGTGGGTGTGTGTTACACTGATCTACAGTCTGTGTAGTTTTACCTTTGAAAAAGATGAATTGTTTCAATGTTACAACTAAAAACTCTCTGTTCTTTAAATACTGATTCATCAGAATATTTATCAAAACAAACGTAGTATTAAAGGAAATCAAAGTATTTTTTTTTGTAAAATACAGAGTTAATGACTAGACTAGAATAGAATAAAATAGAACAGACTAGAATAGAATAGAATAGAATAGGGTAGAGCCGTACCAGTGTGAATTGCGATCCAAAGAGCAGCAGCAGCAGTGAAACATACAGCAGATTTTCTTCAGACTCCATCTGGTTCATCTTCTCACAGCACAAACATCCACCACCACCTGGATTTCTCTGACAACAGTCTGGTTTCTCCGGTCGACCTGGTGTCCAGCTGCTCCTCGATCTTGGGTTTCCTCTTTTCTTCTGTATCTCTGTGTCGACCGGATGCGATGCCGAAAATCACCCGAGTGTAAACGAGATCCTCCAGCTCCCTCGGTTTGTATGTGTGTGTGTGTGTGTGTGTGTGTGTGTGTGTGTAGTGATGTCACAGCCAGGCTTGTGTGATCTGAGCAGCAGGAAAAGGAGGCGGAGCTGGCCATGGCACTGATAGGAGGGGGTGTCCGCCCCCCATCCTCCCATGGGGACTGAGTGTGTGTGTGTGTGTGTGTGTAAGTGTGTGTGTGTGCGCCGTAGCTATTTGGCCTGAGGCAGTAAAATGTCGACTCCATGAAATATTTGTTTCTGACTAAGAGGTACTGGAACAAGAAAGTAGCTATTTTACTTCAGGTCTCACAAAGTATTTGAAGTACTTGATGTTTATATTCATTTTTAAAAAGATTAAGTAAAGGTTGTATGAGTAGAATTAGATTTAATTTAAAATATATACATATATTGGGCTGTCAAAGGGTTTAAAAAATAATCTGATTAATCACTGGGTAGCTGTGGATTTTTCACGATTAACCATGATTAATCGTGATTAATTGATAAAGCAACATCCCCAAATCTATATAAAACAAATTACATTATAGGAACAGAATTGTGGTGTATTTCAGTCATAACTGTTCATGTTGACGGTGTAGAATGTGTGAAGAGTTGTTTTTTATTTTAACCTTCAGTGAAGTCGTTGTTCTGGACAATAATAATCAGTCCACAGTCTATAACAGTCAGTGTGATCTTTTCCACAGTAGGTGTAAATACCAAGGTTAGGTGAATGGACGGTGGGAAAATTCCATACTCAGTGTGCTTCATTCTGATATATGTAGATGTGTACATATATATATATGTATATATATATATATATATATATATACATATATATATACATATATATGTACATATATATGGACATATATAATGTTGACAGGGTATTTTATCAAAGTTCAGAGCTCAAAGAAAAACGTTTGAAACACACACTACTCAGGAACCCAGTGGGAAAAGAAGGCCACGGAGAAGGAAAATCATGGAATTCTTTTTCACCATTTGGTTGTCATGGAAACAAAGTCTGTTTTCCAGCACCACGGAGAGTGTGAAAAGGGAGGCATTAAATATAAACTCAAGAAGCAACATAAAACTATTATTTCTGCAATGATTGTGAGCAGGGGAATTTGGACACGTTACACAGTTCGCAGATTTAATATTTTAACTTTAATTTTATTTGTCATTTGTAGTTTGAAGGTTGTCCACTAGTACTTTTTAAAGAAGAGTCTGTTCAGTATAATATTAATGTGTTTCAGCCAGATTCTTGGATGGGCTGATAAAGTAACGTTTAAATGAACTTTCATTCAGAAATGGAATATGTTTGGACTTTTATGTTTAAAATTCAAAGAGACATTTGATGATTCAAATGTCTGTGATCTGTTCTTTTTACCGACGCCTTCTGACTGAGAAATAAGATAAAATAAGAACGAGGTGTTAACACGGTAAATGTGTGAGTCACACGTTTTATCCCTGCTGCAAACGAATGTTTAATGAGAAATTATTTAACACAGTTTTGGAGTTTGAACAGAGCGTCTGATTCTGTTCAACGTTTTTTAAATATATTTGTATGATGGAAATTTTTTGTTTTGATTTATAATTTTCATTTAATTGAAAATGTCTTATTTAATTTTTTGGACGTTGGAAATTTTTAAATTTTTAGAACATTTTTATAACAAATTATATATATTTTTTAATTCAAATTACTACTTTTATTTTATTTGTGTTTTTATTATTTTATTTATATATTTTATTATTATTATTCATAATTTGATTTAAATTTATTATTAGTATTCTTTAATATTTAATTTCTTTGAAATAAGTTATATATGTAAGAAATTATTTTTTCAAATTTTAATATTAATTTTCATTTTATTCTTTCAATATTTTTGTATTTCATATTTTATTTTTTAAATGTTTTATTTTAGCAGTCATTTTGTATTATTATTTTATTTATTATTTATTTAAATTTATATTTAAATTTTTACATTTTTAGAACATTTTTAGAACAAATTATATATTTTTTAAAATTTAAATTGCTATATACTTATTTTTTCAATTTTTATTTTATTTGTGTTTTTATTATTTAATTTATTTATTGTATTAGTATTTTTTATTTTTTATATTTGATTTAATTTTTTATTATTTAATATTTAATTTCTTTGAAATAAGTTATATATGCAAGAAATTATTTTTTCAAATTTTAATATTAATTTTCATTTTATTACAATATTTTTGGTTTTATATTTTATTATTTAAATGTTTAATTTTAGCAGTCATTTTGAATTATTTTATTTTTTATTTTTTTATTCAGTGTTTTTCAATAACGTGAGCGATAAAAAATAAAAGGGCTTAAAAAAACAGTCTTCATAACATTGTTATTTTATTTTTTTATTTTATTTAGGTTGATTTGAACACGGCGGTTCATGTGCTCCTCTCCTGGTTCTGAAACTGCCTGACATGGTGGATCAAATAACCCAGATCGGATCTCTTGGTCTGGGTTGCCATGGAGCCATCACTCTGCTCTTGTCCGCAGGTCATATTTTTGTTTCATATTTTGAGGTTTAGGTACTTTGGGTTTTTCCTTCCTTTCTCTCTAATGTTGAGTCACTAATGGAAATATTCTACCCGTACAGTTCCAAATTTACTTTGATCCTTGCTTCTCAAACTTTGGCACACAGACCACCTGTGTACTTGGGCTTTTTTGATGTTTAATGAGATCTCCGGACTGCACCAGTGCCCTCGAGCAGCCGTCAGTGTGAAAATAACAAGTGAAATTATACATTTTAATACAAACGTTGCACCTGAGTAAAAGATTCAAACTTTTACTTTGACCATTAAGATTTAGAAACTAATTTCGTTTTGTTATAAAAACTAAATCTGTTTGTTTTTAGAGAAAACCTCATGAACGTCAGGCTCTGACGCAGCTGTAATTCTTCTGTTCTCTCCGACTGAGACAGCATTTTCAACCATGCAAACTCAAAACAAATCTCTATCAATACCTTCATGTTTTCTCTGCACCAGCCAACTCAACACTCCACAGGTACTGCGTCTGTTAGAGTAGCAAGAGTATTTAGTACTAACACTGTTCTGTTGCAGAGCTGTTGAACTAACTTAAACAGCTAACTAAACTTAAATGACGTAATGTTTAATTACTACAGTACTTTGTCTGAAACTGCCACCGGGCCGTGTTCTAATCTTTGACCAAGTAGTAGTATAGTCTATTTTAGGAAGATTTTTAGTATAGGTCGTTGCATTTTTTGCGATGACCTCCCGGTTTTCCAACAATGTCTTAGATTTTGTCGATCCGGCTCGAAGGACCAAGTTATCACATACCAATGAGATAATGTGTCAGGAAACTTCCTCCGTTAGATAGGACTGTAAAAAAATGCTGTTAGTTCATATCAGTTTCCCAACACACAAAGAATTTCAAATAAAGATCAGATAAAGATCTGATGAAATAAAGAATCAAATACGAGATCTCAAAGTTTTAAAAGTTTTACTTGCAGCAAGGAGTGTAGAACAATGGTTACATTCAGAACTGCACTGAGGAGCTCCTCAGGGCTCAAAGCTTAAATACAGTTTTTTTACACACACAAACTTCAATGATCAGTACCTTAACCCTTTGCAGTCATGTGGTGTTCTCACATAACTTCTGAGCACTGATTGGTAAAGACTGCTTCAAACAAGGATTCTCCACCAATAGGAGCGATGTGGAAATGCTGTAGTTAATCAAGTCAAATAAGACCATGCAGTTCGGATGTTTTTCTCTCTTTGTCTTTTGTTGGTCTTCCGTCGGTCTCCTTATTTGGGCAAAGAAACCAGTTCTGGCCGGTTCTGTGTCCTGTCTCTATCTCCAAGGGTAACAGTCGGTACCATTCAGTGCTGTCCATATAATATTGTTATGAAAACCATCAACGCTTTCCCTTTTAGTACAGCATAATAACAGCATTCAGTATAAATTGATATGGAAACTTAACATAATTAATATACTGTAAAGATTCAATAAATGTATTTACAACATCTTAACATAATGTCATATACTTAGTATACATATAGTATATATATACATTATGTATGTACAGTGGAACCTCGAGATATGAGCACCTCGACATACAAGTATTTCGGGATACGAGCAAACCGCCGGGCAAATTTTGTCTTCGAGATACGAGTAAAGACACAAGATACGAGAACGCTTACACACGCCGACGCTAGGTGGTCGAGCACTCGGAGCAGCCCACGCAGCCTCACTCGTTCTCTTCACATATTCGTCGAGTTCCGTACACGTCTTCCCCGAGTCTTCCGTATTGTGTTTGCATTATCTACGTGATTTTCTCTCTATTTTTTTTGTTACTCTTCATAATAGTGATGAGTCCTAAGAAAGTGAGTGGTAAGGATGGTAGTGAGAAGAAGAAACACATGATGACCATGGAAAAATAAAGCATGAAATTGTCGATATATATGTGCGTGGTACCCGTTAAAGAAGGAATACAAATCGAAAAAGGAGGAGACCCAGAGGAAGGCCCGGGACATGCTGGAGCGACTACATTGCTTGGCTGTCGAGGAACTGTCTGGGGAGAGGGAAGTCTGGGCGTCCCTGCTCCGACTGTTACCACCGCTACCCATTCCTGGATAAGTGGAGGATGATGGATGAACAAATAAAAAAAGCAAAAAAATAAACAATAGAAAAGTTAAAAAAAATACGTAAGTTAATTCTAAGTTTATGTAAGTTATGTAGTGTATGTGTAAGGTACGCTACGAAATCAAGTAACTACGCACGTGCCAACCCCCCCCCCCTCCGCATATGCTGCTATATATATAAATATACATATATATTTACTACCAACACTAATACTACCAACAGTAATCTATCTATCTACTTCTACTAATCTACTAATATCCACTGTTCAGGTTTATCATATTCATTGACAGTGTGCTGCTACTCATGTTTGTATTTTACTTATTCCTATGTTTTTCCTGTTGTTTTGGTGCTGTACTGCTGCTGGAGGTTAATTTTCCTGAAGAGAACTCTCAAGGGATTAATGAAGTTCCATCTATCTGTCTGTCTGGTCAGGAACATAAAAACAGATTGACAAAAACCTGACAAGTTACAAATCAATTTGACTTTTTCTCCTCACCATCAGCCCAAAATGATAGAAAATATTTCTTTAATCGTTCCACAATAGGGACATTTGAGGGGGGCGGCAGCAGCCTAAATGTCCTCCCTGCTGGTCTCCAGGTAGCAGTCTCTAGGTTTACAGATGAGCATGCTAACTCATTGCACCACAGAGACGGCTTCTGACAGGCTCAGCCCCGGTCAGCCCGTGTGTTAAAGTGGCCATGTGCATGACTGTAACTCTACTTGGATAAACTGACTGAAATGTGTTTTCAGAGACATTTCAGAGTCATTCTGTGGTGCTAATGCTTCAATTGTGATAAAAAACAATTAGATTAATCACAAAAATAGGAGTTGGATGAATTTCAGTCAACTTACTGAAAGCACAGACAATAACTAAACAATATTGCTGATTTTGTGATTTGTTTAGCTCAATATAGTCCATGCTGCTTGAGCATTATTTATTATAGTTTTAAACAAATTGCACTGATTGCGCTGTTGTACATGCTTTTGTTCAGCTTTTTGAAAATTTGAACAGTAAAAAACTTGTTGTACTGCTCCAATCATCCCTGTTGTTGTCACATGGCACTGCCCATGGGGACACGTGCACACGTGCAGCCCAAGAATAGAGGGACGGTGGTAGTACAGGTTTACCTGATGGAGTATGAAATAAAATGCCATTTTCAGATTTAGTCATATCAGTAGTAGGATGCATAAGAGATTGATGTTGTAGAAGAACAGTATTGTCAACCTGATGTGTTGACAATAGATTAAGAGCCACATCAGTCACATGCTGTCCAGTAGCTATAGCTCTAGCAGTACAGTCTGCTAAGACATTGCCCAGGGACACAAGATCAGTTCTACCGGTCTGTGCCGGGCAATGTACAATAGCTAAAGCTGAAGGAAGAGAGATAGCATGGTATAAGTCTTTCAAAAGATGAGTATGTTTTACTGGACTGATGATGACTGATGATGTGGAGAAATCACGAAGATGCCACATAGCTGTGTGTGTGTGGCAAGCATTAAAGACATATTTACTGTCAGTGCAAATTGTGACTGGAAAACCGGAAGCATAGCGGAGCGCCATGCACAAAGCTTTCAGTTCTGCTGCTTGAGCAGAATAAGAAGATGGAAGTGTGTCAGAGAGCAACACTGAAGTAAGAGTTGTCACAGCGTATGTAGCACTGGTGACACCAAAGGTGTTTTTCAAAGATGAACCATCAGTAAACAACCAAAGTGAATCAGGAACTGGTTGATCTGACAGGTCTGGTCTGGGTAAATAAGTAGTCAAAGAACAGTCTAGACAGTTATGTGGTTCACCATCTTGTGATGTAGGCAAAAGTGTAGCAGGATTCAAAGTTGTACATCTAATAACAGTCAAATGAGGCTGTGAAAGTAATGTAGTCATGCAGTGTACGGTTCTGATTCAGCAGTACTGAGATTGCATGTGGTACATGAAGTGTGAGAAGGTGATAAAGTACAAGGTCAGCACAAGCTATCACTGCTTCTGCAGCTCCAACAACAGCTTGTACACACGGTGGCAAGCCTGCAGACACATTATCTAGCCGTTTGGAGTAATAGCACAATGGTCGTTGTGATAGGCCGTGTTTTTGAGTCAACACAGAAGTCGTGTCCATCTTTTGAATCACAGTAAAGGCTAAAGGGTTTGTTATAGTCAGGTAATTTTAGAGACACTACGGATTGTACAGCACTACAGATTGTAGCTATGCACCTTAAATGATCAGATTGTAATGTGATTTTAGTAGCTGGTGCAGAACTCATTGGACCTGAAAGTAAAGAATATAACGGTCCAGATAATTTGGGGTCATTTGAAATCCAATGTCTCCATTAATTAAATGTGCGAAGGAAGGACATTAGTTGTTTCATAATTGTTGTGGCTGGCAATTTACAATGTTGATTCTTTGTGGTGACAGTTTTTTCTGCTGTTTATCGTCTCATGGTTTTTATGGGCGACTCCCATCAGTTCTGTTACCGTCTTATCTTCCCCTACGTGCTCTAGCACTTTCGTTGTTGCGGTCGTTTCTTCTGTCTGCATGGAGCTGTACACACTCTCGCAAAATGCCTTCCTCTAGCGCATTTATATCACTTGTCTTGAATTTCCCTCCTCATAGTCAGATTCATCATTCTGTTGCCATTGTTTTCTTTGCTGAGGTCTAGCTCCCTGATCAGACCATTGTTTAGTTGGCAATGAGACAAAAACTTGTACAGTCTTATTCTTATCTTTTTGTTTATTTGCCTGATGTCTGTCCCATGCATGTTCTACATGTGTATGGAAATCTTGTAAGTTACAACGCAGGAAGTCACAACCATGTCTCGTGCAATTTTAGGCAGATAGTCCAAAAATCTGTCTTTATATAATGGATTGTAGTGTAGAACGGCTGTCACTGTGAACCAACTTTCTCAATTTTGACCACAATCAAAAGAAAAAAAAAATACACTTAAAACACTTTTATTGTCCCCGAGACTGTCTTTATATACAGTTTAATTTCTCTTGGAGACAATCATTCACACAATTCTCATTCACTCAAAACGTCTGAACGGTTGTTTTCAACTTCACATCAGACACTAATAGATTTACATCTTAATGGTCCCTGACACACTATTCACACACTTTACGTGTATTATACTCACTTCACTGCGTGCAGTAATTCTTTATCTCGGGATCGACGTCACCAAGCACCGCTGGAAAACCACCGAAAACCGGAAACCACTGAAGCCTCAAGTCGGCTTTTCAATGCTGAGGTGTTGTCTCAGACAATGCATGGATTTTTGCGACGACCTCCCGGTTTTTCAACGATGTCTTGGATTTTGTCGATCCGGCTCGAAGGACCAAGTTATGTCAGGAAACTTTTTCTGTTAGATAGGACTGTAAAAAATGCTGTTAGTTCATACCCCAGTTTCCCAACACACAAAAAATCAAATAAAGAATCAAATAAAGAATCAAATAAAGAATCAAATA